ATGCAGGAGAGTGGAACTAACTTAAGGGAAGTTAGCAGCGCTGCCTTCAGTTTTCCACACTCGATGAATTTCTTGTGGGGATGCTTGCTTAATAACTTGAAAATACAGGACTTTTGATAATGCCAAAAGGGGGAAAGGAAGAAGCAAACTTTGATGCTAAAGTTGTTTGGGTTCCAGTTGAGAAAGTATCAGAAATTTCTCTGATATGATGCCATAGTAGCTTAGTTTATATTTGTTTAGTTTACTTTGTTTATTTTGTGTATGTTTTTTATTTACTTTCAGTCAATAAACCAAAAACAGAAAAATACGACCTTCTATTTTGTTTAACTTGTTTCTAGAGTTTGCTTAATTTTGTCATCATCAAAAAGGGGGAAATTGTTGAAGCATAAAGGTTTTGATGATGAGGAACTTAAACTAAAGCAAACTCAACTAATAAAGGTTTTCAAGTGTTTGATTAGTTTTAGGTGAAGTTGATCGTGGTGATGGAAGAAGTAGTTGGAACTAAGAAGACATGAAGAGATCTTTATCAAAGAAGTTAAAAACAAATCAGAAGAAGAGTTCTCTAACAAGAACTAGTTCTCTAACAAGAACTGAGTTCCTTAACAGGAACTTGAAGACAGCAAGCTGAGGTTCTTTGGTGGAACTTAACAAGCTTGGAGCCCAAGTAATCTGGCTGAACAAAAGCGCGGTGCAGCTATTAATTTATTTAAGGCTTTTATCTTTCTAGATTATTGTTAATATGTTAAGTAGGTTATTGCACGAAATTTATTAGAAGCGTGACAAGTTAGCTTGGTAAATAAAATAAAACGGAAAATAATAAAAGATAGATTTTAAGAAAAGATTTTCTAAAAGTTTTATTTCCTTTAAATCGGTTTGTTAAAAAGATAATTCTTTTTAACAAAATATCTTTTTATCTTTATTTTCCGGAAAAGATTTTATTCATATGATTTACATAAAACCGTGTTTTAAAGATAAGTTAAGTTAACTTATTTATCTTTTAGAAAACCTACTTTCTATACGAGTGTGACTTGTATAAATAGTAGAGAGCAAAATGGTTTTAGGTTTTTGTGAGTTTATGTGTGAAGAAATCTCTGTGCGTAATTGAGTAAGTTTACCAAGCTTCTAACTTTTCATATTAGTTTCGGATTTTGTGCATTGCTTGCCCAACATACTAGGTGTCGTATTCTTGTATTGGGTTGGTTATTTGGGTGTGTTTATCGTTTATATCATACATAGTTTTGTAAGCTTCGTGGTGAGGCTAAGTGTTTGTACTTTGGCAGTACGTGTAGTACTTTGGCAGTACGAGTGAATCTAAGTGTGGTGCTTAGGTTGGGTAGGATAGGGTCCTATCAAGTAGCAATTCCAGTGAGAAACTTGTGAAACTAAAGGTCCGTGTCTAATAGGTTGTAACTTGGTTTTTGCCCTATTATAGTGGAGTTTGTGTGTTTAAAATCCCTAAGGCAAGGTCGAGGTTTTACTTCCAGTTGGGCCCTAAAAGGTTTCCTCGTAAAATCTATGTGTGCTTTTAAGTTCCTATATGCATTGTTTATTAATCCGTGAAAAGTAAACATTAGGAACTCGATACAATTCACCCCCCCCCCTCTTGTATTAATTGTCTCAACTAACATCTCTTCCCAAATACATTTCAACCCTAATTGAATCCATTGAAGCCCTTGGAGATACAAAGAAGAAGGAAGGTCCATAAACATCTAAAACGGAGATCTAAGCATACAAAGAAGAACGGTAGTTTCCTAAACACTTTGATAAATCACTTTTCTTTTCTTATTTAAATAATTTTAATGGATTAATTAGTGTTTTTTTTACCACTTAAACAAACTTTTAATTAATTAATTAATTCACATAGTAGTCTTTCGTTAATTAAGACTAGAATTTGATAATTAATTGTTGTTTTATCATTTAAGACAAGGCAAATGTTGTTTATTTGTGTTCTTTTCACGAATTTTAATTAAACAAGAATAACGACTTTTGCAATGTAATTCCTACATGATTGACGCGTGTAAATAAAATCAACTAACTTAGTTTTTAGGTATCACGTTGCATATATTGTTTGGTGATCAAATTGTGAAAAAGGAAGAGCTAGTAGAGGTCGCACTAGGACAGGAACAACAATTCCTTCCTAAAAGGAATGTTATTTTAATACTCTCGCTCCTGAACTCATCTCTTGTACACGTAGACCAATTTGGGCATGGGTAAACTCACGATTCGTGCTAAATATCCCTTGAACTCTACTTGAGAGAAAGGCATGAACGTGTTTTATGAGTTTTCTTAAAACTCATTGGCGACTCCTTACTTGTTTCTTACAAAAAAGTGTAATGATAAGATCAATTCTATTTCAAGGTCCCCCAAACAGTCAGAATTCAAATCCTAATACACCTTAACAAGTATAAAGTCCTAGGCTTTTAAAGGGCCATGGGCATTTAAGGAGAAGGATCCCCTACGATGGGCACACCCTCCTTACACAATGCTTTTCTCATGTATGCTAGCTTGTATACTCTTTGATTGAGCACTCTAAGGAATCATGATCTTCTCTATAAATTTCTTTAATCCTCAAACCACTTTGGTACATCTTGAAGGCTGGCAATGAGCCAACACCTCAAATTTCACCAAGCTTTGGTAATCTTCAACTTTGACCTGAATGTTAGCAAGGATTAAAATTCAGATGATCATTGGCAGTTTGTGTATTATGGCATATGGAGCACATACTATAACTAATAGATTCTGAGTGTTTAACTTAGCCCTAAGTTTCAAAAATTGTAACATCAACCAATCAAAATTTGATACCGACCTTGAGAATATACTCTAAACAATAGTATAAATATCATTTAGGAAAAATTAGAAAAAATAATCCCAACTTTCATCAATTTTAGAAGAATAATCCCAACTTTCGATTATTCTAGAATAATCCGAACTTTGGGGGGTCTTCTTTTTCTTCAATCCCAAACCGGTCAACAATAGTCAATGACCTATTATAACAGGTTATGTGCCACGTGTCAAGTTGCAATTGGTCCAATAAAAAAATAAAAAAAAATTAATTAAAAAAAAACCTAGAAAACCCTTAATCCTTACCTGACCACCATAACACCCAGGCCACCACCACCACCACCTGCCACCGCCGGTCGCGACCTATCTCTCCTCCCCCTGCCCCAAAAGTGCCCCACTTCCCCCTTAAACCCCCTGTGCCGGTGTTGCGACCCACCTCCACCCCCAACCCCTCTTTTCAAAATTCGATTTTCCAACAGCCGCCCCTCACAATCAACATCTAACCAGCAGCCGCCCCCCACAAGACAACCACCGTCTGTCGTCGATTCAACCATCTTAGACCACCAATCGAACACACGAAACAACAGCCCACAAAGAGGAGCTAACGAGCAGCACCTAATCGCCAACAATTGCAGCGATTTACGCCTAAAAAATTGACCTTCATATTCGTTTTATTGGTGGTTGCGTAGGGGTTTTGGGGATGGAGGGACGGTGGTTTAGAAAGGACGCCTGAGAGGCGACTCTGCTGTTGGGGGGAAGATGTCAGTCCGGCGAGGGAGGTGGCTGGCTGGGAGGGTTTGCCGAACTGGCTGGGTTTCGATTTTTTTTTTTTTGTATTTTAACCAATTAAATCGTGACATGTGTCACTTTAACAGAAAAAAATTAAAATTTAACCCATTCAACCGGTATCCGGTAGTTGGGATTGAAGAAAAAGAAAACCCTCTAAAGTTCGGATTATTCCAGAATAATTGAAAGTTGGGATTATTGTTCAAAAATTGATAAAAGTTAGGATTATTTTTTCTAATTTTTCCTATCATTTAACCCTAGTCATGCATTGTTCATATCAGTCTCTTTTGCTTAGGATTATTTGGAGTGGTAGTTGCTGCACTTTAAATGGGATTTGAGCATATACTCTATATACTTTTTATTTACTTTTGATATACTTTGGTTTACTTTTGAGTAATTTTTCCTTACTTCAAATGTATAATGAACTAGAATTAGTCTACTAGCTCAACGGGTAGAGTATTGTGCAAATGCACAAAGATGTAGGTTCGAATCCCACGTAGGTTTCTTTACTTTCCTCTACGTTGCTTGTCTTTTTATTGATTTTTTGATTTAATTTTGAAATATATCTCTTTACTTTAAAATTTTAATATATACAAGCCTACTAGCTCAACATGTAGAACATTATGCAAATACATAAAAGATGTGGGTTCAAATCCCACATAGGTTCATTGTGTAATGTGGAGACTAGACCTTGTATAAGAGTTTAGTTGTGTTTCATAAGATTTCTAGTTCTTTTTATTTACATTTTGAATTTTTTTAATATACTTTTAATTTGAAAACCTTTACATCAAGTTTCATATACTTCTGTCTTATAGCTCAAACTATCTTTTCTCATAATTTTTATGCTATAAAACAGCTTCTACAATCATTAATCATGTAAAGCCAATTGATTGTTTATATACCTTAGAGCTTATATGATTTACTTTTTGTATTGTTTTATTTATTTTTAAGTTGAAAACATTTACCTTAACCTTACCTTATATACTTACAACTTACAAGTATTTAATTGATTATCTAGTTGTATCATTGGGCGGGATATTCTTTAGCTTGCAAGTTTATGTTTACATATGGAGTTTACTCATGTGGGTAGTAAGGGTAATGGGGTGGCGCATACTATTTGAGTAGAGATTTTGATGTAGTGAGGGTATGGTTAGAGGAACTGCCTGATGGTGCCCTTTGTTGTTGATTTTCATATTAATAGTTCTGAATTTTATTCTGGCCATGCTTTCCGTCATAAAAAATTAAAATAAAAAAAGTAGGTCATAAAATGACTCACTTTTAAGTAACACGAAAGTCAATGGCTCGGACTTTAGTTATGTTTTGTTCTCTACTTAATTATTTTTCTGCTACCTCCGTTACAGGTTATGTGCAACGATTTAACATAAAGTAGAGAGGAAAAATGTCTAATCGTTGCACATAACCTGTAACGGAGGTAGTATATATTTTTATAGATAACCTATGTAGGAATCAAAACTACACCTCTATACATTCGCATAGTGTTCTACCACTTGAGCTAATAGGTTTACTTTAAATTCTTTTTAATTCACTTTAGATTCATTGTTATTTATATTTTGAGACCACTTAGGATTGTGATCATGCTATGGATGACACACAACACTCATACTATAGAGTAAAAATATATTAGTCTTCTTTAAAACATATCTCGTTTTATAAAGTAAAATTCAATCCACATTACACTATATACTCTCCTCTCCTCTCCTTAATCTTGCTATTAACTTACCCTACCAACAAGTTTCTTAGAGAGCAGAAGGAACAAGATACACATTTATAAGTAAACAACTACCATAAGTAAACAAGTACCATATCTACGACGACATAATGCATTTCAGTTACTTCACATGTAAAGTGAATGTAAGAACAAAACTGGAAAAATAAGCACATAAAAAAAAAAAAAAAAAAAAGGAGCTAGCACAAAAAAAAATCTCCAATCAAAAGACCAGATCACCAGAGCAAAACAAAACCTAAAGATAGAAAGAAGTACCAAGTGAGTATATCTTATCTCATTTAGCTATGAGTTACAAGTTTCCAATCTTTGTTCTTCTCCAAGTTCTAATTATTAAAAACTATGCTTGTCATACCTACATATTATATAAAGCTACATCTCGTGGACTCAAGTTGGAAATTGCTACCTACCAGCAAAATAATTATCTACTTTGGGACCGAATTAGTTTACTTTTAAGAAAATCAAGTTTACTTAGGTTGCTTAGCAGACCAACAAAATCCCTATGCATGTTCAGATTAGAATCTAAATTAAAGGACTAGAAGTTGTAATTGTGAAGGGGGAGCTTAAATATTCTTTTACAAAATCTGGAAGAACAAAAAAACATATGAACATTAGTGCATATTCAACAAATTATTAACTTGTTCTGCATCACAATTTTAGTCTTTCAATTTACTTTAAAATTTAATTGATCTACTTTTACTCTGTTTCTATCTACTTTTGAAATTGATTAAATGATAGTAAGATTCATTGAGGCATTTTGTCAAACAGTTAGTGTGCATTGAAATTTAATTTACTTTAAAAGAGATTTAGTTTAGTTTTAAGGATATGTAGTCTACTAAAAAAAAAAGAACAAATAGCAATAATCATTCATCTATTAACAATTTAGATAGCTACAAATCGATTAGGTCTTAAGTTCACTCAAAACGTAAGGATCATCTGTCTAAAAATATACAAATCAAAATCCAAAATTCAGTAAAAAGATAGCAGAAACATTAAAAAAAATAGACAAATTAGATAAAACTATAAATTAATTTATCAAAATCTAGATGAGAAAATATTTAAAATCCTAACCTAAGATCGAAGAAAGCTCCTGATAAAATAGTAGAGAAATCATTAACTTACAAATGAAACTCAAATCGCAATGGTTATCTCTAAAGTTGAGAAAATTGTAGCAAAGTCATCAAATTGTACATGTAGATAGGTTTGATCAACCTACAGATTTAACAAAAAATAAGATTAATATATTGCAAATTTGGAGTGAATTCTTGAAAAAATCCGAAAAATTAGCTGAAAATCACAATGAAACTTGAGAAACCTTGATTTTGGACATAATCGAATTCTTGAAAGTACTTGATTATGAAACCAAATTGCAGATTCAAACGAGAAATCAAACTTCGTGGAACAATTTACAGAATTTGAGTATGAAATTGCATAATTAAAATCAAATAAAGCATTTATTTGATGTTAATATGAAGAACTAGAGGGAGAAAGTGTGGAGTAGAGAGACAAAATGAGTTTACCTAGAAGTTAGAACGAGAAAGTGTGTCTTTCACCATTGCGTAGGCGTTTTGGATAGGAATTAATCACAACCGTTGTTTTTTGTATGACCTGACGGACGAGAGAGGTTCCTAGTTCTTATTATAGGAGAGGTTCTCATTATAACTTGGCCATATATATATATATATATAATATATATATATATATATATATATATATAATATATATATATATAATCAAGATCATGTGAGAACCAAGTCCTATAATAGGAACTAGGAACTCATCTAGACCATTGATCGCGCTCAATCTAACGGACCATATTCCACCCGCCTCATTAAGGGTCTTTTTGTAATTTCATGCATTGAATGACCTTTGTTCTCACTCCTAACACTGCTTCATTTTCTTTCTCTCTCTTCTTCTGCATTTTCTCTCTCCTCCTTCAATTTCTCTATTTTGATTTCTCCAATCTCGTCTCACGTCGTCAATTTTGCAAATTTTTATTACGGATCATTGTTGCTTAGGCAAATTAAAGGTTTGGCAAGTTGTTTTATTTTCATTTTTGTTGTTTTCTTTGATTCAATTCGATTTTGAAACAAGTTTTTGCGAATTTCATTGCGAAAGTTAGGGTTTCCTAATTATTTGTTTGAGTATTTAGTTTGTGATTAATTTGAATTTGTTTTTTTATTCTATTTTCGATTCAATTGCGATTTGCATTCAATTAGTTATTGCGTTTTTTATCAATTAGTATTAGAATTAGGGTTTGAATTAGTATTTTCCTATTTTTTGATTCACCAATTAGTGTTAACATTCAGTTGATTGTTGCATTTTAATAAATTATTAGTTGAATTTACGCCTTGATTAGTATGTAAATTTTGTTATTCAGTTAGGGTTTATAATTTTACTCAATTTGGATTATTTGATTGTGACGATCAATTTTTTTTTTTTCAATCACTTTACTTTTGGATTTATACCATTTAGCTAGAGCTTTAGATTCACTTTTACATGTTTGATGAAATGCTTAAAAGAAGAAAGACTATAGTATGATGATGAATTGGTGGAGCTCTATTAGTAGGAGGTGTTAGGCTACCTGTGGACTAAGAAACCCTCTAGTAGTAATGGCAATTGAGGTTTGCTGTAGTTGTTGGGTTTGTAGTAATTTTTATCTCTTGAACTGTGAATCAAAAGGGCAGTTGGTTAAAAAGATTTCTCCCTTTCTTTATGTTGCATCGTTTGACATATTTTACTAGCAGATCCTTTGGATGTTATCTTAAGTCAGTAGGGATGGATAATGTTAGAGACTATGGATGGACGATAACGGTAGGGATGTATTGTGCTGGTTATGGCCAGTTGCACAGCGTTGGCTCATTTTGTATAAGCAAGCCTTTCTTGTTGATGTGTGTCGATCTTATTAGCAAATCGAAGATTTGAAGGAGATTGGTAGTTTGAAAAATTATAGTTCTTTTATTGGTATTAAGAGGGGTAGACATATACTTACCAGGTATATATCAAGTATACGGTTATGTAATTGGAAGTTGGAAAGAATGATTTTTCTTTGCATTGTCTGATGTTACTACTTAGTTTTTCTATTACTTTTTAGTTCTTGCTGAGCAATTTTTTGTTGGTCATCCATTGGAATATTGAATAATGTAAATCATTCTCTGGACTATGCCCCTTTATGTACAAGGAAATCATTTTATACTGTTGTCTTACTATCATTATCTTTCAAATAAAGCTGGTCTTTGATGAGCTAAGCTGCAGTTATTACAAAGCATTGTTTCATTATCCTCCTGGTTTGGTTTACCTCATTGATCAGGAATTAGAATCTCTAAGTTTTGAGAGTGAAAATTGATGCACGCAAAGTCAAGTGATTGTATGAAAAGTATGTCTAACCCTCTTAATACCAATGAAACATTTGCTGGAAATTGTGTATAAGAAACCCAAAGAGCTCATTTAAAAAAATAGTTGTTTACAACAATGTAGCCTACTAGCTCATTGTTGATTTATTTTGATTCATTTTTCATTTACTTAGAGTAATTTTTTTTATTACTATATATTAGCCTACTAGCTCAACAGGTAGAGCATTGTGTAATTACACAAAAGATGTGGGTTCGAATCCCACGTAGGTTTAATTGTGTAATTTGGAAACTAGGCTTAATCATTTCAAGCTAATTTATTGTTTGTATACTTTTGAGTTAATTTGATTTACTTTTTAGTTGATTCGATATACTTTATAGTTAATTTGATATGAACTAGGGACTAGGTAGGGGATAAGGATTTTGGAAATCAAATGTGATATTGTGGTGGACTTTTAGACCTAAATACAATTACAACAATCTGCAATTCAGTTTTGCGTATATATGAACCCGGGCTAGCAAAGGAATTCAATCTGCCCCATAGCATTGGTTCTGCTGTACTCTTTCATGGTTTTGCTACACTCAGCAGGCGTGTTGCTGCACTCAGCCGTGGTGCTGCTACACTATGTTATGGCGCTGGTGTTCTTTTCCCTAGTGCTGCTGCACTCAGCCCTAATGCTGCTGCACTCAATAGGTTTACTTTAGAGTATTTTTTGTTCACTTTAAATACTTTTTTATTTACTTTAGACAACTGATATAGGAGTATACTTTTTGAAGGAGGGTATTCTTCATTTGGTCATCTATACCGCATTCTTTTACTTCTCATTGGCCTTTGTTGTGATGGCGGTCTTTTTAAACATCCTCTTCTTGTACTATCCTTTCTTAAATTTGCCTAAATCATCTATTAAGGAATACCTTAGAGATGGAAATGGAAGAGGATGGGTTGTCGCAGCTGGTTTGTTGTGTGGCTTTGGAAATGGTCTTTAGTTCACTGGAGGCCAGGCTGCTGACTATGTAGCAGCCGATGCAGTTCAGGTTAGTAATTTCAAATTTCTTCCTTTGAAGAAGAAATTATGGATCTCTACCTTCTGCCTGACTTTTAATTTTGATTTCAGGCACTTCCGCCAGTGAGCACCTTTTGGGGCATACTCTTCTTCGGCGAGTACATGAGGTCATCCAAAAGGACTTATTTGCTACTTGTGAGCATGCTCATCATGTTCAGCGTGGCTGTAGGATTGCTTTTAGCATCAGCTGGTCAGCGAAAAGTATCAGCTGGAGAAGGTACGAAGATCAATCGTATACAACACCAAAATACACAACCGGTGGATAAATACACTCATGGCACTTTTGACTTCTAGATGGCTATCGGTCTAGCTGTTTCTCTTGGTTCCTACTGCTTGGTAGTTGGGTAAGCATTCACAAATAAGGAGGTTGCACTCTGAGTGTAGATGCTGCTGATGTGCTATCACAAACCTCACGCACACCAGCACAACACATTGCAATACACTCAAACTCAAAAAATAGAAACACATGGATAATCCTCAATCAAGAACTCACACACATCAACACACAAGCATCTATCTCCCCCCTTCTCTAAACCTCCCAAACCCCAACCATCAATACCCACTTGGCTGCTGCCTGTTTGAAACTAGGTGGGGTTGGGTGTAGTTTTAAGGAATGATGCTGGGTGTATTGTTGCTGCTATAGTAAAGCACTAGAGGGCAAGGCAGAGTGTGAAACAGGCTGAAATTGCTGCTGCGAGGCTAGGTGTGTTGGTGGCAGGTCAGTTGGGGTATGCGAAGGTTGAGCTTGAATGTCATACTTCTAATTTTAGTTATCTGAAGAGTTAATTGGTTATGGTTGAAATGTGGGTTCGAATCCCACGTAGGTTTATGTGAGAAATCTGAAGATTAGAATTCATAATGTTTTATTAAATTTCTTCTTTTTTTTCTTTTACTTTTTATATAGTTTTATTTACTTTTGATTTGAAAACCTTTACATCATATTGAACCAATATATTTGTTTCTTATAATTTGATTCATCTTGCAAGGATATGAAAGTCAATGACTCAGAGTTTTTGTGCTATAACAAAGTTTCCATAGTCATTTTGCATTTCAAGATAATTTATTATTCATATACTTTAGAGTTAATTTGATTTACTTAAATGATACCTTGATTTACTTTTTGCATTATTTATTTACTTTACAGTATTTATGATTTACTTTTGAAATATATTAATTTACTTTTCTTTAGTTTTTCTACTTACTTTTGAGAGATTTTGATTTACTTTTGAGGTATTTTGAGAGCATTGAAAGCAGCCATTTGCACTTCGAACATGACTTTAATCCAGTTAGGGATCGTAGAGTGGTCCATATGACCAACGGCCATGTGTGATTCCAAGCAAGCTTACCAAGACGACATGCCATGAGGTTATCCATTCTCCCTATGTATTTAATCTCCACAACCTCAAACTCTGTAGTCAGTTCAGCCACTTCATTGATAAGAGCAGCATCTTGCGATGTACCTGGCCGCCAATGGTATCAAACATACCTTGAGAGAAAGAGCATCCGTTTCCACAACCACCTTCTTGAATTCTAAAAACCTTGGCAATGTGTAGGCCTTCCTTGACAGCTAGAAGTTCAAATTCAATAGGGGATATGGCATTATATTTGCTCAAAAATCCAATACACCAATCAGCATTCTCAGCCCTCACATAACCACCACCAGTAGCGTTGTTGATTGAAACCCAAGCATCATCAGTGGTGACTTTAGCATAAACCGTAGGGGGAGGAGGATTTTTTTTTTATTTACTTTATAGCACTATTTGTTTACTTTAAAATAATTATGATTTACTTTTGACATATATTAATGTACTATTTTTAGTTTTTCTACTTTTGAGATATTTTTTGATTTACTTTTGACATATATTAATGTACTATTTTTAGTTTTTCTACTTTTGAGATATTTTGATTTACTTTTGAGGTATTTTAAATAACTTTACAGCATTTGTAATTATTTTTTAAAAAAAAACCTATGTAGGAATTGAACCTACACCCCTATGCATCCGCATAGTGCTCTACCACTTGAGATAATAGGTTTACTTTAAAGTCTTTTTTATTCACTTCAAAGTCTTTTTTATTTACTTTTTCATACCAAAAACCACTTAAGCTAATCTGATGTGTTTGGATTCAGTAAAGTGTATGGAACCTTTACCGGTCACTGTTGATTTTTAAGTGTCTTGTCATTGTTCCGTTTTGTGATATTCTTTTCAATATCTAATAGCTTCATCTGAAATCTCTGGAATTGTATAACAATTTGTCTTATTTCATGCATAAATACATACATATTAAAAATAGAAGTGTATACATGCAGTTTGACAGCTTATGCTTTAAGTACACTGCCTTTTGTTTTTCTAATTTCTTTTTCTTTTACCTACAACAAGAAAAGATATCAGTGCAATTATTGTCATGCCACAATTAAGGATCATAGCTATAACTAATTGATAATTAAAGGAAGAAGGGAAAAGCAGATAGATTGAAAAAATCAACACTCGGCAGCAGCTGATATACAAACTCAAATGTAAGAGAAATGTGTAGGTACAAGAAGGTAAAATAATGACAGGAAATGTTAAATCTCAACCGGAAATGCCACCCTAACTCATTTTTCTTAGCTATTTTCTGAAAATGATAGAAACATTGAATGGCACACACTCAATATTTTATACCCAATTACTTTGTATGTACAATTGTGATTGTGTAAATATAAGGGTCTACACCTCCCAAAAGCAAACTTTACGGTTTTGTTTAAACTACAATAGAATTGTTTCGACATTTCCACCCATTCGTTTTGAAACAATATTCTGCAGCCAGTAATTATTATTAACTCTTGGCTTTCTTAGGAAACTAAATGTGAACTTGCAATAGAAATAATATCTTTCACAACATTGGTCTCAAGTATACAGAATACAAAGTTGAGAATACCTACATTTGCACGTCAATAGCCTTGGTTTTCATTAATCTAGTTGTACATGCACATCACATCTACCTCAAGCCAAGAAAGCATAAGCACACTAGCACAACACATAACAAATTACTCAACCTTCGTAGAGTGGTCTATTTGATTGTCTACTTTGAGAGGAGTTTGGTTTACTTTACAAGATATCTAGTTTACTTTAAGTAGAATTACATTAAGGGCCTCCTTTAAATTTTAAACCTCAAAAGCTCCTGCCATCTACAACAACAAACATAGCAACATTTCTTTTAAGCTAAATTCCCCACAATAAACCCTAAAACAAATCCCACCAGTTCTTATACTTGAAAATAGTAACAATGGAATTTAACCTTTCAAAAGAAGAGCATGAAGAATTGTCAGGAACAACTAAACGAAGGGGGAAACATACCGTATCATCCGAGCTTCAGTACACTGAAAAAGAGCATACATTATTGTTTCCTGGGCCTTCCCGCAACACGGACATATAATGTAAATAGTAGCTTTACCTAGCAAAACAACATTGACAATCATTTCAACCCAACCAGCTTCCAAAAGTAGTCAAAATTAGCTAAAATAACTGATTATATATCAGAATGTCAAATTTTCAATTTACATTATAATATACTTGATTTACTTTTACTTTATTTCTATCTACATTTTCAATAATAATAAATTTGTACAAGAATGAACTTAATTCGTTCAAAACTAACCAAATCTCACAAAAAAAAAATAAAAAATAAAAAAATAATGAGAGCAAAGTTCCTAGCAAGAGCAATACCGTGTTCTGAATTATCAAATCGAGTGATATTTGCAGCACAATCCAGTCAAATTTGCAAAGAATTATCACAAGCTAGCTAGCTTATAAACCTAGAAATAATACTGCTAATTGAACTAAAATTGCAATAAGAATAAATAAATTAAAATTTTAATGAAACGATTAAAAGTAATTTCTAATCAATCATAGCCTCAACTTGTAAATTAAAATTCGATTTACTCTATGAAATTGATGAAGCTCGTTGATTTAAGAAATAGAAGAAAAAAATTACCTCAAATGCCGCTCAAAATTCAGAGTCGTAGAAGAAATTTGACCTAAATTCACCAAATTAAACAAGAAAAATTGAATTTCCAACAAGATCTTGACAAATTTGAAGCAATTTCAGCAAGATCGAGACGATTTTGCAGCAAATTATACCCAATTTGATAGAGAAAGCTCATTGCAATGGAGGAGAGAGAAAATGGTTGAGGAGAGAGAAAGTGCATGGAAATGAATTGAATATGTGTGATTTAATTTGGGTTGTCTATTGTGGAGGAAGTACTTAGGGAGGTTAGTTATGCATTTGCAAATGCATAACAAACACTAAAATATTAAAAAGCACGTGGAGATGAGAGAAAGGAGGAGAGATATGGGTAAGTGGGGTCATTTTTTAAATGTACCGTTGAAAGCTTAGGTAGTACCATTGACTATGTAGTGATACTATTTTTACCGTAGTGATACTATTTCTACACGTAGTGAGTACCACTGAATGAATATATAATACCACTACATACATAAATAATACCACTGAAATGTTTAATGATATCATTTAATCATCTAGTGATACAATTGATCACCCAGTGGCACTACTCTAAATTCAGAAATGCATTTACGTGAAATGACCCCCATGCCCCTCGTTATGCATTTACTCATACATAACTAACCTCCCTTTGGAAGGCCCCGTCTATTGTGCTCCTTTTTGTGTAAGATCTGACTGTTCAGATTAGTTCCTATTTCCTATTATATGATTGGTTCTCATTATAACCTGATATATACATATGAACAACCTTAAAGTGAGCCAACAACTTCTTGGCATTATTCATTAGTAATTGAATTTCCCAAGGACATCGTGCTTTATCCTGCAAAATATTTATAATTAAAAGGTTATTACCTTCAATAAAAAGTTGTTGTATATTATGTTCAATAGCTAAGAGAAGACTATTACAGGGAGCTTTAGCTTATGCAATAATGGGAGTTGAGGTACCAAGATTATAAGCACGACTAACTACATTATTTCTTGTATAATCTCTAATAACAACTCCGGCTAACCCAAAGTTATTACGAACAAAACCATCACAATTAATTTTGATAATACCAGGGGCAGGAGGGGAACCAAACTATTTGGATGGTTTTATGGTAAATATCGATGAGGATGGATCTTAGGAACGATGACATTAAAAGAATCAAGATGAGAACGAATATCTCATTCAGTAAATATTTTGAAAGCTCTAGAATAAATACCCATAATAGTAATGGAGGGTAAGTTTAAAAATGATACCATTACGAGCTTTCCATATACTTCATAAAGAAGAAATAATCTTTTTGAATGGAAGGTTAACATTATGATGAATGTCTCGAAAAAGAGTAAGGGTATTCAGGGCATTAAAATGAGGTCCTATCCAATGAATAACGATATATGCATCCTAATAATGTCTAATAAATGGACAATTTAGAAAAAGATGATCTTGTGTTTCAGCATGTGAATTACAAAGGGGACATATATGATGGACATTATTAGGATGCATAATGTAGTAATTTCCATTATTACAAAGGGGACATATACGGTGAACCAAATTATTTCTAGTTGGAAGACTATAATGTAATAATTGCCAAATAAATATCTTTAGTTTTGGAGCAATATCAAGTTTCCAAATCGAAGAAAATTCCCATAGGAGAATTAAAATTATAAGCTAACCAGGTTGCTGACTTTACCGTAAACTCTCCATTTCTAGAAAAAAAAAACCCCAATAGGGTTCATCTAATTAATATATCATTAACCGGCAAAGGAATATATTTAATGGACTGAACTATGTGAGGAGGTACCACTAAAGAAAGAGTAGCAATATCCCAAGAACGATCTTCAGTAATAAATTGATCAACCATAAGGTCTAGATTTTGAATATCAGAAGTATTTAAATCTAATAAATTAACCAAATTTGTAGAGAACACCAATTATCTAGCCAAAAAAGAATATTTAAACCTAATCCAACTTTATCTCAACCCCGGCCCTTAGGAAGGAGAGGGCGAACTTGTAAATTTTTTTTCCAAATCCAAGAGTCCTTAGCGCGAGGCTTACATTAAAAGAACAAGTTATGTTTTAAATATTTAGCCCGAATCTTACGAACCCACAAATTATTATAATCTGAAATTACTTTCCAACCTAACGTAGCAAGGAGAGTAGAGTTGACTGCTTCCATTTTCCTTAAGCCTAATCCCCCTTGACTTTTGGGTTGACAAATTTTGTCCCAAGAAATCATGGAGAGGCCATTCTTATCCAGAGATTTTTCCAAAAAATGTACGGTTAATTTGATCCAAAGAGTTAGTAATTATTTAGGAAGACGTGCAATAGTCATAGCATAAGAGGGAAGGGCTTCCAAATGATTTTGAATTAAAACAGTTTTTTACTTGCCTTTGAAACTGAGTTCAAGGACCAATTATTCAATTTATTCTCTGCTTTTACTAAAAGGTGATGGAAATTCTTCTTAGTACAACACGAGGAGATAAATAAAATACCTAAATAACGGCCAAGGAATGATTTAGGAGTCATATTGAAGTGACTTGCCAAATTTACTTTTCTAGAATTATATACTAGCTTTGAAAAGACTATAGAGGACTTATGAAAATTGATCAGTTACCCAGACATTGAAGAAAATTCATTAAAGAAGTCCCTAAGATTAGCAGATACTCTAGATTTGGCCTGACAAAATAACAAACTATCGTCTGCAAATAGTAACCAAGCAAGGGATGACTGCACCAGTAGATGGGGTAACTTTAAGACCAATGCCTCATGTTTTATCTAAAGATTGATGAAGTAATTTTTGAGCAATGACTTCCATACAAATAACAAAGAGAAATAGGGATAAGGGATCCCCCTGACGAAGGCATTGAATGGAAGAAATTAATTATGTGGAATTTTTATTTACATATATTAAGTAAGAAACCGTAGTGACACAAGTCTTGATCCATGTATTCAAAGTCTCATTAAATCCAAACACCTTTGAAGTAGCCCATAGGAAATCCCATTCAACCCGATCATAGGCTTTTTTCATAGCTAATTTCAAGGAAAACCATCCTGATTTAATTTTGACTTATTAAACATATTCAAGATTTCTTGAACTAACAGGACGTTATCTGGAATTTCTCTTTTGGGGGCAAAAGCATTGTGATATAATCCTATAACTTTCTTTAACAAAGGTTTAATTCTATTTACTAGGAGTTTAGCTATCGCTTGATAAATTGTAGTACAAAGACTAATGGGGAGGAATTCGATGTGCCTTATTTAGATCGTCAAATTTAGGAATTAGTGTAATAACCGTATGATTAAGTTGTCTTGATAAAATATCATTATGAAAAAAAAATCATTTATGGCTTTACAAATATCCATTCAAATAATCGGCCAATAGTATTGAAAAAATTTAGGCCCCAAATTGTCCGAACCTGCAGCTTTGTATGAGACATATCAAAGAAGACTTGTTTGATTTCTTCTTCTAAAAAAGGTTGTGCCAAGGTTAGATTGTCTTCCCAAGTAATACGTGGTTGTATCCAAGGAATGGACATATTACAAGAGATTGGGTGATCTGACTTGAATCTATTTGAAAATTATTTTAAAAAATAAGGTGAGTAATATCTATTGGTTTCTCAACCCATTGATCAACTTCATTACATAGCCTGAAAATCTGAGTTTTTATTTTTCTTATTTTCATCATTTCATGAAAAATTTAGTGTTTCAATCACCAACGTTAACCATTTTTTTGGCATATTATTTACCTCAGTATTTTTGGGCAAAAAAGGAGTGGTTTTTCACGTTGTTTAATTAGACGATTTAGATATTTTTCGATATGATGATTTTTGGGAAATTGTTGAAGCTGTAGTTCCTCATTTTGTAACTTATCTTGGTTAATAGACAATTTATTTTTGAATTTTCCTATACTTATGGAAATTCCAATGTTTTAAATCAATTTTTAGTCGTAATAATTTTTGCACAATACATTAAAATCGAGAGCATGTCACTACTAAAAATTCCATGCTTTTTAGACGCTTTTAAGAATTATTTTCGACACAAAAAAGCGTCAAAAATATTTTTCTCGACGCTTATAAAAAACGTCACAAATAAGTGAGTTGAGAAATTTGTTGGACCCCAAAAAGCGTCGCAATTCTCGATGCTTTTTATTGTCCAAATTTCTATACAAAGTGTCGAAATATGTGTCAGTTCGCGCACTTTCTCAGATTTGGCAACGCTTTTTCTTGTCTATAATCACATAATTGCGACGCTTTTTTATGACATTAGTTTTAGGAAATTTTAGAAAATAACACCACAAAAAAGCACAAATTTTGATTATAACACCACAAAATTTAAAATTTTGCTTATAACACCACAAAAAAAAACTCACAAATTTGATTTCACCACCACTTAACGAATTCTTGGATAAAATCCGTTAGTGGGGCCATAATTTGACACGTGTCAATAGTCTATAGGTTTAAAAAATTGAATTAATAAAAAGAAAAAAAAAAATCCTTAACCTAGCTAGCTCCACCACCAGCGCCACCTTACCTCAGCCGCCAACACCGTAACCCAGGTCGCCGACACCCATTTGCCTCCACCAAAATCGGCAAAACCACCCACGCTGCCGTATTTTACCTTCCCCCTCCCCGAAAACCACCCACGTCGCCAAAATTCTCACCCGCACCAACCCAAAAACCACCAGCTTCGACGAAATCAACTCCCACACAACCCAAAAACCACCCACATCGCCGAAATCCTCTCCCACACCATCATCGTTGCCGATTATCCTCTCTCTTACACTACTACAAAATTGGCCAAAGAGACCTCAAACAAGAGATCATTTAATTAAATATGTGGTCTCTTGGTTTCATGAGACCCAATATTTTAAATAAATGATCTCTTTTTTTTAATCAAATAAATAAATAAAGAGAGAGACCCTTTATATAAGATAAGTGGTCTCTCCTTTTATTAATGAATAAAATAAATGAAAGAAAGACCATTTATTTAGGATAAGTGGTCTCTCCTTTTATTAATTAAATAAATAAATAATGGAGGAGACCATCTATTTAAAAGAAGTGGTCTCTCCTTATTTTTAATTAATTAAATAAAAAAAACACCATTTATTTAGGAGATATGGTCTCTCCTTAATTAAATAAAAAAAATATTTATTTAGGAGACACCCATTTACCTTTTTTTTTTTAAAGTTTATTTTCTAACTGGAATTCACTTTACCATTTTAATTAGGGTTACTATATATTTTACTCTCATTTGAGTAGCCGCCACCCTCCACTCTCCTCTATACTCTCTATCTCTTTCATCTCTCAAATACCCACTCTCAAGTCTCACCCCACCTATTTCTTTAATCTACAACAATGGAGGTTAAACTTCAAGGTGTGTTTATGTCGAATCAATTAAACACGGCATAAAAATCACCATATTTTAGAGTAGAATCACTTATTCATCCTTGTCTTTCTCTCTCTTCGCCGGCTGCAATGGCGGATTTCGATCAAATGACGGAGTACTAACTCCAGCGAATCGAGAATATCAAGCGCAACTCCGAAGTTATGGCTTTTCTCAAAATTAAATCTCATGTTGCCGATCTTTCTGTCACTTTCAAGCATCTTAGGTCTTTCTCTCTCCTTCGTTTTTGATTCATTGTGTTTTTTTTTGTTGATTTTTATGGATTTTGTGCTATTTGATGATTTGTTTCAGTTATACAGTGAGGGAAATTGATGCATGTTGAGTTTAATGGGAAGGTTATATATTGACAGTATGTAAAGCAATTGAATAAGAAATTGCGGTTATTTTGGCTTTGTTGAATTTGAAGTTCATTTTGCTACTGCCGTTTTATCGGTTGATTTATTTGGTTTTTATGCTTTTTGGTGAATTTTGTACTCTATAGTTTAATTTGAATATTCAATGAGGAAAATTTATGTCTGACCCTACTAAGAAAGTTCACAAACGGCACCATGAAATGGATTATGGGTTATGGATTATACATTAATATAGATTATGGAGTTATGGTCTATTAAAACTGGTCAACACCTATTTAAATGGCTTCAAACCGCTGACCCTACTAATATATTTTCCATTTGATTGAAAGGTTGATATTAAAATTGAAATTTTAATTTGAAATCCTTGTTCATATATTTCTAATTTTTTTTCCCTTTTGTTGTTTCAGAGTTGTAAATTCAGGTCTCAATATGCCTACTCTTCAAACTCACGGAATTTGGCATAGGCGATTATGAAGGAGTGGTGTAGGTTGAAGTGGGTTTTGTAAATTATTTTATAAGATATTGATTGTAATATTTGTGAGTATGTTTTAAGTATGGGTTTTGTATAAAGTATAGACTACTTGTACTTTGTTGTAAGTGTAACAAGTATAGGAATTGTATTTTTTTGTTTAATTAATATTATATATATATATATATTAAAATACGATTAATTTTTTTTTAATAAAAAAAGAAAGAAAGAGACCACCTATTTCAAATAGATAACTCATTTTTTGAAAAACCGAGACCACCTATTTGAAATAGGTGGTCTCATAATTTGAAAAACTGAGATCACCTATTTGAAATAGGTGGTCTCAAATTTTGAAAAACTGAGACCATCTATTCTAAATAAGTGGTCTCTCTTTTTAAACCAAGAGACCACTTTTGATGAAATGGTCTCTTAGGCCAAAGAGACTTGTGAGCTAGAGATCACCCCTAAGGTAGTCTCTTTGGCCATTTTGATATGGTTTCTTTGGTCAATTTTGTAGTAGTGTTACCCAAAACCGTCATCGAAACCCCAACCCACACCAACCAAAAACCGCCCTCACCTGAACCCTAACCCGTTTCCAGATTTCGAATTAAATCGGAGTTGGGGTGAGGCCAAGCTGGGTACGACGTTTAAGGATTAGGGTGGTGCGTCGTTCAGGTGGTCGGGGGTCGAGGGTGGTTGACTGGGCGAACCAGCGGCGGCAGTGAGCAGTAGAAACTGACGCTGATGGTCAGTACGGTGGCTGGGTTTGGATTTTAGGGTTTTTCATTTTTTATTTTTCCTTTTTTTTAATCCAATATACATCTGACACGTGTACTTCTTGGGGCTCACTAACGGTTTTTTGGATGGCGTTAGAAAGTGGTGGTGAAATCAAATTTTTTGGTATTTTTGTGGTGTTATAATCAAAATTTTAAATTTTTTGGTGTTATAATCAAAATTTGTGTTTTTTTGTGGTGTTATTTTCTAAAATTTCCTTAGTTTTATATATGTTATATGTCCTATATTTTATCGACGATTTTTAATGTCTATATTTTAAAACTTCGCGACGCTGTTTCTAGTCCAAATTTTGTATAAAATATCCAATGTGTAGAATATTTTTTTCAGCAAAAATAAAATTTAATTTATTAACTAAAAATAAATATAACTAGCATAGATATTCAATGTAAGAGTTAAACAAATCAAAAGACATTTTTACTCTAATTAAATTTTATTCATAATCCAAGAAAAGTACAACTTATTATATTCTGACACTATTGATGTAATCAAGCTAGAATGATAAAAGAAAAGTACAAATACATTTTATGTATAGTAATCCATATTCTTCTCTTAAACAACTGACAATAAATACAAATGTTTGATTGTAATTCTCCACCTTTATCGAAAAAATTGTTGCTTCTCACAATCGAATTTGGAGCTACTATGTCTTCATCGAACCACTTAATTAATAACTTTGATGTACGTAGTCTGGGACGTATAAAATAATCACAACAATATCCTGCACCAATAACAAGCATGTCAAAGCTAGAAGTTAAAATTTTGCCATATATTTTTGTTGGTCGAGTAAAACATTGTATTAATTAGTGGATTATAGTCCCAACAGAACAGCAATCATATATTATATACTACACTAACAAAATTAGAGCTTTAAAGATAGTTAATGGACTGCAATCCTAGCAGAAATAATTTTACCCTTATGTAGTAGTGGATCTAATGTAAGGTTATATACACAGGAGAGTTTGAGATCCAAAAAAATTTATATCAATATCTAGCATTATATAGAAAATTTTAATTTTCTTAATCTCTACAAAAGTTAAATAATAAAATGTGTCCAAGTTAGTTAAAGAATTCTTAAGCTTTCACCTACTAGTTTTAATTTTAATATAAAGAGTAGTAGCTTAAGATGCTGCCATATGACTTATCACACAAAAAATAAACAAAATTTCAAACATTAGCCTAAAATAGAGATAATCTAAAAGGACATTCACTAGATACAATCAGACACATAAAGCAAAACAAAAAAAAAAGACAAAACCCAAAGATCAGTATATATAGTACAAAATGCAAAGAAGCAACATGCTGATTTAAATTTTAAGTAAAGTATACATATGACATAAACAGGCCAGTAACAAATCAAATCCTTTCTAACTCTAAAGCAAGCACTAGAACCTTGATCAAAGAAGCATTGCTCATATGCTCTACCTAGAGCTTAATGTGGCACCCTATGCAGTAATGAAGAAGTTAAAGAGCAATGGAAATACATAGAATCAGGAGCATAAAGATTAAAGAGCTCACCCACATCTTGTAGTAACACAGTCACTAACACTAGCATAAATTTTTCAAATATAAAAAATTTTCTCAGCAAATGACAACATTTCTAAGATAACCACAGGAATAGATTTATAAGAGTGAGACATCAAACAATAAAATAGCAAAATATTAAGATTAATGCACCTTGTATCACGCCAGGAGTTAATCCAGAAATGCAAGGCAGCAAGAACGATCCTTTTCATCAGTACATTTCGTAAATCGCCATACGTCTGAACATTATTCACGGGAACCTGCAACATAAAATAATGTGCAAGTGAGAAAAAATAGGAAGTCTAGAAATAGGTATTATTAGAAGCTAACAAAGGTTTTTCACTCAAATAACAAGTCAAAATGGGTCACATTAGAGCAGTTCGCATGTTAATAATGGGCAGGAAAATTAACAAGCAAGAAAATTAAGTAATGACACAGATAAAAGTAAGCACAAGTGAATATGTAAGTATACTTTTCAAAAGATCTTTAGCAATGTGTCTTAGTGTACAGATGTATAAGAAAATTATCGTATGAAGGGAACTCTTAAGTTGCAATATGGTCCTTCACCCTTCATGTATCTGAAGACTCAGGCTAGGATAAAAAGGCTACTTCCATATAAGTTTTACACACTCCATTTAATTTCTAAACTTTTAAGGATAAAAAGACTACTTTGCCTCATTATCACCAAGAATCTCAACGATTCTCTGAATAGTAAACTGGGACTGGCAACATTGTTGCACCAGTGTTGTAGTCAAGTCATCTTGCCAAAGAAAAGAAACAACTAATTCAATGAAGCACATCAGAGCAACTCCATCAATTAAAAAATTATAGACAAATTGTATAGAGTGTTTAGTGTGGATATAATGCTAAGAGGCATGAGAACTGTATGTCAAGAGCATGACCAGATAAATCAATCAAATTTCCACAGAGGGACTGCAAGAATGTCAAAAACATGACCTGATAAGTCAATCATCGCATAGAGTATTAAAATGCACAAGAAATAGAATATGGTATAAGGGTGTAGACACCCATTTGTGTCTCCCCAAAACCAAACCCGATGATGAGTACCTCGTCGAATCATAATCGAATGAAACGAAAGTGTGGAAAGGTCTAGTGTTGCGGAAAGTTTTATTTCTTTTCTTTCCTTTTCTCTTCTCTCTGTTTTTGAAAACTTTATTTTAAGAAAACAGCCAATCCAGTTTGGTTGGTCCATGATATGGGTCCAATAGTGGTGTAGTTGGATGAGGCTTGCAAAGACCTTTCCAACGATATATTATAAGCCCAATTCCGATGAATATTAAGGAAGTTATGGCCAATTTACTAAACTGGGCTCGGTTTGAGCTTTAAGTACGGCCCAATGATTTAGGGAAGGGCCTAATATGATTTATCATTCCTAATGTAATTAGGAATGGTTTTGGTCTTCTAGAACATTCTAGAAGGTCTTATCATTCTTAATTCAATTAGGATTCTTTAGAGTTTTAATTAGATCAAATAGCATTTTCGACTGAAATTATATTATTTTATCTTCTAGTACGGGAATTTTATCAGAATTTCGAAAACGCGTTAAAAGCCGGTTTGGCGTCCAACCCCAGGCCTTGGCGCCTGGAACCAGCCATTGGCGCCTGGCGCTAGCCACTGGTCCTGGCGCCAATGAGCCAGGCTGGCGCCAAGTTAGGTTTGCGATCTTCAGACTCTGTTTTGATAAATTATCTTTTTTGGCTGATTTTCTCTATAAATATCGTATCAAAAACTCCGTTTTCAGGGATCATCTACATCTATCATTCACCAATTCTCTTTATTCTTAAGCTTTTATCATCTCTCTTCATTCACAAAATTATTCATCAATTATTATTCATTAATTCTCTTCATTCATCATCATTCATTCGTCAACTTTCAATAACATTCATTCTTTAGCATTCTTTTCTAAACCTTGCTTTTTCATACAAAATTCCGCATTCACAAGATCCAGAAACACCTAGCCATATTCGAAGTTGCCTTCGCCCTAGACGTGAAAGGTTTTAATTTCTGAGGGTTTGGTCCCAAATCTCTATTTCAATTATTTAATTTAATTGTTTTGATTATTATTTTCCTTGAAGTTACTAACGTGTGTATTTTGTAATTAGAAAGAGGTACGAGGCATCCAAGTAAGTACTTTAATGGTTTAATTGATATTATGATGTAGATATCATGTTTAGATTGTTATTTTGATTCCTAGTATCATGTCTAGGGTATCTTTAATATCAAGTATGATTAAAAGTATGATGCTTCCTATGTTCTTCCTAACATTTACATTTATGATTATGATTGATTATTGATTATTATTATGTTGCTTGATACATTATTATCGTTGTTATTGCTTGATCACCTTTCTTGCATGTTTAAAGGGAATTGGTATTTGCAATCACGCTTGATAAGATAATTAATAATCTTGTTTAGGGTTAATTGTGATTATAATTTCAAGTGATCGCCAATAATAGTTTATTTGTGCATTAATATTCAACCAACATAGATTAAACAGGTTTAGGGTTAAATCCTATTGATTGTATGTTAGTCAGAAAGCGCACATGAATACGAGCAGAATAAAGTAGAGGCCTATTATTAGGGCAGGTTCAATCTCTTTTAGGTTGGATTTGTACCATCATCCCCGAACCCTTATTTGGTTCATGACCTTATGGAGTTGACGATCTCTTGGATCGTTGAGGGGTGTAACCTTCACCTTGTGAACGGTTTACAAGTTCCTTAAAAACTTGTTGGCGACTCTTTTGCTCTATCTTCTTCCCTTTTGGACGCCACCGTACTTTAGTGTATGATCACAGTGGGGTTCAAGCTAGTGGGATTTTAAAGGCTTGAAACTATTCCCTACAGTTTTTGGCGACTCCACTGGGGAGGATTTCTATTTTAATTCCTGAATTTGTTTCGGCAATGATTTAGAATGAGTGGATGAGACTCGAAAAGTTCTAAGTATTTCATGTGCGTAATTTTGATTAACATTATTGTCATATGCATAAAAAGGTTCTCATTGGAAAGACCATCCGTAATGAGTCAAAAACATAGGATTTTACACGTAGGAAATTTGAGAAATGTCTTTCACAACTAGGACTGAAATAACACCGCGCGAAACTGGATGATTTTATTGAGCACGGAAAGCTGCTGAGGCATGTGGGAAGTAGCGTCAGGGGCCAGAGCTTGGCGCTAACATTTTAGTCGTAGCGCCAGACGCCAGTATTGGCGCCAGGCGCTACAGTTAAAAGTTGGCGCCAGTCTCTGTTTGCTGGCGCCAATTTCCCCCAATACCGAGCCAGAAATATGCGTTCTAATTTCGACCGGTTTTTCGTATTGTTTGCTCGATCCTGCTTCCTGATTGAATTTTTTCTCACTTTTCTGAAACCCATATGTGTTCTACATATGGACATAACCCTCTGGGAATTCATGCTCTATCTACCCGATTGAACGCTCCTGGCAACAAAGGGTACATCTGAGAGGTTGAATTCACCAAAACATGGAAGTGAGTTTTTTCTAAAAACTCGCGGTGTCCTATCCACACGCGCTAACCCTTCACGGTTAGGCTTCTGCGCGGTGCATCTGGACAATTAACCATGGACCCTATTTGACTAAACCATATCCCGAACTTTAGAGAACTAGAGCCATGGTTAGGTTGCGAACTCATTGCATCATATTGTGCCTACTTGACTAATTGTGCATTATTTGTTGTGCATATATATTCTATGTTTCTCTTAACCGTTTGTTGATTTGTGTTGAGATTAAAATTAATGACTTAAAGAACTTTACCTAATTAATTAATTAATTAATTTGAGTCAATAAATTTTCTTTTTAATCGGAATTGACCTAGTACGACTTTAGGCATACCCCAGTTGACTAATAATACCGAAAACAGTCCCAGACCAAAGCTCCAATGTTGGCGCCAAAGTCTGAGCTGTAGCGCCCCTGTATGGTGTGTAGCGCCAGACATTTACTAAAAAGTCTGGCGCCAACCACCATAGTGTGACGCCAGTCCTGTCGCTTGGCCGACAGTTCGGATTATTTGTCGAGTCATCACCTAGGGTCTAATTAACCAGTTTACTAATTAATTCGGTTAATTTTCGCTGTCAATAACATCTTGTCAAGTCATTAATCGAGTCTTGGTCACATAATCTAGCCACATGGTCATGACACGAGTCTTAACATGTCACCTACACTCACTAGTCTTAGCACACACTTTGAGTATACATCACCATGGCCATGTCTTAGGTTCATGCATGAGTCGGTCTTTTCCGTCATTTGAGTTGCGGTACATTCTACTCCTAATCCTTCATATCCCTCCATCTCAATCTTCTTTTACATTCTATTCCGATCTTTCTTCACCTCCTCCATCCATTGCATGTTGAATAAAGTTTGAGTCAAATAATTAACAATAAATATCCCCAATTTCCTTTTCCACAGTACTTGGTCGAGGAGAGAAGGGCGATTAATCAAGGACAACCTCTTTATTCAGGTCTAGCTTTTTGATAAACCGATTCGTCAAAAGAGGAAGGCTAAAAAGGTAATGGCAACTCAAGAAGAAGTCAACGAGCTTAGGAACCAATTGGTTACCATGACTGAAACACTGAAGCTCCTCACACTTAAGGTCAATGATCCCGTGAAGCAACAACGGATGGATCTCATGCAAGAGAGTCTAAGCAAGCTATCTAGTGACTATAAATTTCAGGGCATGAGTTCGCAAGGGGTCTCGCTGGACAAGGAACTTCTTCCGCATAAGTTCAACGCCACTGACATCCCCAAATTCAAGGCAACAGATAACCCTTACTTCCATATAAGAGCTTTTGAAACAATAATGAACATTAAGGGTATCAATAAGAAGGTTTTTTCCTCTTTGTTTCCACTATCTCTTGAAACCGTTTGCCAACAATGGTTTTTCTCCCTTGACAAGGAAAAAACCTCTACCTGGGAATCAATAGTGAATGCTTTCATTGATAGGTACAAGTGCAATATCCAAGTTGAAACCGACCATAGACAACTTGAGATGCTAAGACAAAAAGAGAATGAAGGCTTTACTTCTTTCTTTAATAAGTGGAGGGAAACTTCCGCCAAGATGTTTGAGGTCCCCACTGAAAAAGAATCCGTGAGGATGTTTATCAAGAATCTCCAAGAAAAGTATTCAAAGCACTTAAAATATCAACACAACTTGAATACTTTCAAGGCCGTCTATGACGTAGGTATCGAGATCGAAGATGACCTCGCAAAGCAAAAAGCTACTAACAAT